CTAGAGCTCGTTTAACCGGTCCTCTGAGTCTTCTTCCCATATTCAAGATGCTAGTCGGTTTATTTGCCTTCTTCTTCTTTTTCTCTTTGATGACGAGAGCTTTAAGTTCTTCCTGCCCCTGGGCCAAAGCCATGAATATTTGTTGGAACTAAGCGTTTTTAGCTTAAAGGTCTTTTACTGTTTGTTCAAGGGCCACTTCTTTTGCTGAAATAAACAGCGAAAAGATGAGAAACCTGTACTGGAAGACTTGTTATGAAATGGCATGCATGCAATGTTTTCAAGGATCTAGCGGGGTAAACAAGAAAATGTTAGAAGTTGAAATTTGCAGCTTTGATTGAAGAACTTCGTATTATTGAGTGTCCTTCTATGAGAGTCAAGCTCACCATATCAAGTGGGTCATAGCCCCTGACTCAAGTTGTTGAGTTTTGATCTTTTGACGATATTGGCTAGAGGAAAATAAATCCCCTTGCCCCTTGCTAGACGTCTAATTTATCATAACCTGCATCACAAACCCTTGAGATCCTTGAAATGGTTAAGGAAATATTGTGGCATGATGTTATGATGTGTATGCTACGCATTAAGCAAAAGTGTAAGGTGATGAAGACAAGTGAGTCTAAGAAGTCCAGGTTACTGGATAATGACTGTAAACAAATCCTGCAAGGAGATCATGTTGTTAGATAAAAACCCTGCAAGTAGCTCAAGTTAAAAGCAAACAAATCACACAAGCAACCTTAGGTTTAGGCTTGCATGGAGTTTATAGGTAAGTATCCTCTTAAAATTTAGTTGGCTCAACCTGTCCTAGTAATAAGAACCGGGTTCTAAGGAGTCTCATATCACTGACCTTTCTTTTGCGCATTGTTCTAGCTCAAGCACCGAAGTATTGTGGCCAGAATATCCCAAAAGTCTAGTCTCAATGAGTGTAGTATCGAGTATCAACCAATCTTCGGTCGGAACCAAAGCTGACCATCTCACTACTTTCTAATGGCTTAGGATGAGTTAATTAAAGGTTCTAAAGGTCACTTAGCGCTTAATGACACTAAGGAAGCCTAATGTTATCCTTGACTGACTCAATGAACATTAGTACAAACCAAAGTATTATGCTAACGTAGCTATCACTTTGTCCATATCGGTCTACGCCGTATATCTTCCATGATTTATTTCTACTTACCTAATAAGGTGCCCCAGATCCGGGTGTAGGATCTATAGTAACAACCCAAACAAGCCCTTAAAAGTAAAACATAAAAACACACAAATGAAAGCAATTTTAAAGATGAACTAAGCTCTAAGGTAACCCCACTTTTTTTTTATATTATCCCCAGCAGAGTCGCCAGTTCTGTGATATGGTGGAAGAACCGACTGTTTATACTGGTTTTGCATTTGTGTTTGCAAATGTTGCGGTAAGCAAGAGTCGTCACCGACTTTTCTTTTATCCAACAAATGAAAGGGTGAAAGAACAGAAAAGACCTTTTCGGGAGTTTTCTGAGTAAGAGGGGTAAATTATAGAAAGGGAAGGTGTTAGCACCCTTTCCATCCGTAGTTATCTAAGGGCTCTTAGAGGTTTGCTCATTTTAAAATACCTTTGTGCTTTGTGTGTTTGAAAAATGTTTTGAAATGCCTTAGTGCAGCGATTTACTCTGCATTTAACTCTTGTATCAGTCCTTAAGAGTGTTAACAAAGCAAATGTTTTGAAAATTGCTTTTGAAAAGTAGTATTTTGTGTAAGTGCAAAATGTTTTTGAGCAAACTTCTAACAGCTATCTACTTTTATACTCGAAAAGGGTTGTTCTTTTCCTTCTATCCTTTAGACAACGCTATCCTACTATTAGTGAGTAGGTAGCCTTATTGTTGGATGTATGAGGGACATCGAAGGGACGATACAGTCACGAAAGCAACTTGTGGAGACGCTTTAGTAATTTTGTTTAGGGACTAGATTATTTACCGAGAAGGAAACTGTAGGATCATCGAGGGACTATGATCTTTTTGATTTACGGGTCTTTGCTAAAGCGTCCCCGTTTTGAGGGACATGACTGTTTTCTGAAGGCAACCGAAGTGGGATACCCTAGAGGTGCACATGTGCAATTGTGTTTGATTCATGTTATTTATCTTGTGCATTTAGGGTTTGCTAATGTTTTAATTTCAGTCTTGCCATACACGCCTAGTTACTAGCAGTTAATATGTACATAAAATAAAGTACAGAAGATAAACCTACACTATTACATGGCTTCGGGGAAGAGGATTTACACTATACAATGCTTTAGGGGAAAAAATAAAGAAAACGGTAAAAAAATCCTAATTAGTTTATTACATCCAATATACAGGTACAATAATGAATAGAAATTGCAAAAATAAATAATGCGCGCGGAAGTTGAAAATACGTCTAACAACCTAGTAAGAAAATCTTTTTGCTTATTTTTTGATTTAAGAAAGTAAATAACCTATAAATCTATTTAGAAAATAAAATTAATCAAGAAAAATAGTCTAAATTCTTTTTTAGTTTTTTTATTATTTAAAGAAAATAATTAAACATAAATTAAGTCCTAAGTTCTAATTTATTTTTAATTAAAGAAAAATAGTTAAAATAGTTAATAATTAATTCACAAAATTAATTTAATTAAAAAAACTAAAACTATATTTTTTGTGATTTTATTATTATATTATACTAATTAAATAAATGAAGAAAACAAATTAAAATTAAAAAAATATAAAGCAAAGTGACAAAAACAATGCGAAATGGGTCAGGATAATTAGAAATTTGGGGGGTGCTGAAATTGAGTTTTGCTAGGCCCAAGTGAATGTTAAGCCCAAGCCACGCTGGATCAGGTGAGATGAGACCTTGAGGGCGCATGGTGGATCTCAAATTGAAGTTGATCTAGACCCCTTATGATTTGAAGGTTAGATCTGATGGTGTTTGGTACACTTTTGGCCATGTAATGCATCAAATCTGCATGAAACAAGTTAGAAAATATAAAAATGGAGCTTACTGAGGTGTTTTGTGATGTTTCAGAGCTTGGTAATAATTGCAAAAGCTTCAGGGAGTCTCCAGGAATATATTTGGATCTTTTGTTTGGACTGAGGAAGGCTGAAACCTAAAATGCGAATTTTACAATTTTGATATTTTTTTACAAAATTTGTAGATCTTTTCCAGGCTGTATCTCATGTGTCTTGAAGCTTGCTAATGTGTCCTTTATATAGAGATGAGGGAGGAGACAAGAGAACAAAGGTAATAACAACCATAAACATGTGTTTTTAAAGCCATGAATGATGTTTTATAATTTTGTCAAAGACATGGAATCTTGTCCTTTTTGAATTTGAATGAATGTGGACATTGCTTGCACAAAATTTTATGGGCCTAGGCTGTCCAAAACATCAACCCAAAGTTCAAAGCCCATTTCCAATTATTTTATACATTTTATTTTATATTTATTTGAAATAAATTAAAATAAATATGAATAAAATAGTTAGCAAATGCAAGGCATGGCAAAAATAATTTTAGAGTTCCTCTATAGGCTTAGGAAGATGTTTGAAGTCCAAGAAATTAAGCCATTGACCTAAAACTTCAAGTTTGCTCAATGCATAATTCTTGAAAAGTCCCAAAATTTCCCAACTTAGGCAAGCCATAACTTGCTCAATTTTTATCTCATGATGATGATCTTTGACTTTTTGGAAAGCCCAAGATGTCTACTTCAATTCCTCTTTTAATCAATTTTGCATTTTAAGATTTTATCTTGATGTAAATGGTCTTGATAAAAAGTTCCTTTTATTGACTTTCTGAAAATGACCTGTAATGTATAAGCTTGTATCTTTCAAATGGTGTATTTCTTGGACTTGAGGGCTGAATAGAAGTTGTAGGGAATTGTATTCTCTTCAAAATGAGCTTTGGTTGGGAAAAAATGGATGAAGTATGAAAAAGTTATGCCTGGTCAAAGTTTGGTTGACTTTTTCTATAGAAACCCTAATTAGCAATTATTGACATTTGATGAATTAGGAGCATTTCTTGAGGGATCATGATCAATCCTTGATCAAATGATGGATATCGCTTCAAAATGTTGATGTTGATCAAAAATCTTGAAGTTTGACTGTATATAGACCATAATTGACTTTTGACCTAGTATAATTGATTTTCAAGCATTTGAGCAATTGATTGAGCAAACTTGTAGTGCAAGGTATGAAATTTGTCATGGATAATCTTGAAGACATATTAGGACCACAGTAGACATCTGAGACCTTTGGAGCTCACACATCTTGATGAAAAATGAAACCCTAGTTGGAAGGTCAATGTTTAGGAGGAGAATTTGTCTGATCAATTCTTGGTCAACTTTGAGCAATTAAGGACCTCTAAGAATATGTCTTGTGTGAAAATGAGAGAGTAAATTGTGGGATATAACTCTCACCCTAAAATATTTTGAAATGCTTCCACGAACATTTTTTGATTTGAATGGATGACCTTAATGGTTACCTCATTGAAGTTAATAAGATACTCCTTAAGATATTACGAAGGACTCTAACATATGTTGAAGAAGTCGATGACGTCTATTTTTTGGTGTATGCTTGTTGCAAACTAGTGAACTAATTTCTTCCCCAAGTCATAGTAACTTATGATTGAGAGTCAGGGCATATGTCCATCTACCATCAAACAAATGCATCTTTAACGATGTAAGAAAGAAGCTTCCATTTTAAGAAATTACGTTATTTTCTCCATATCAAAAGTAGATCTTCATAGTAAAGTATGGACCCACCTAGTTTAAGTGGTGCCACGTGGCATCAAAAGTAGGAGACAAAGTACCATCCTTGACGCTGCTGCAACGTAGCAGATCTCGCTAGCAACCATGGTGTAACATTCCATCCCCATCTTCTTCTTCACCCGCCACAATTCTCTGACTTTCTCTCTTTTCACGATTCCATTCCCATTTTCCGTCACAAAACAAAACTACAAACCCTAGAAATCTTCAACCATTCCATTTTATAAACTCGATCTGAGTGAATGCTCAGAACACCGTCGCAATGGCGGGAAAGTCTGACGCAGTTTCGATCCACGTTCCGTACAAGAATCTAAGGAACGCTTCTTCCGCCGCCGCCGAGGTCGAACTCGTCGGCTTAGATGAACCTCGTCACCATATCGACCTCAATTCGCCGCGCTCCGATCAATTACCGCCGAAAAGTAGCGCCTCCATTGTTCACCTCGTTCTCAGTTGCACCGTCGCTGCCGGTGTTCAGTTTGGTTGGGCTTTGCAGCTTTCTCTTCTCACACCTTACATTCAGGTTCAACCGACTTATTATAAAATTTGACCAGATCCGAATTTGTGTTAGAATTGCAATATCTTCATTTCAGCGATTCAGTTGGTTTGCGATTTACTATAGTTATTGTATTTGTCGCAGACGTTGGGAATAGGACATGCGTTTTCTTCATTTATTTGGCTTTGTGGCCCCATTACAGGCCTCGTGGTAGGTTTTCTTTTCATCTATGATTTGAATCTGCATCATATTTGAAATTTGAAGTTCATTTTAGACTTGGCCTTACTATTTTGGATCATTGCACTCTATTGCTTCATTAAAATTTGTTCAAGCCTCTCTATTTTTTATGAACTAGTTTCGATTTGATCTTAATGATATTGTTGGGATATACAACAATTTTTATGATCAATGGTAATGTTTGCCAGCAACAGAAGTTATTAAGAAATATCTCGAGATTAATGATTTGGATAGAAGCATGGTTCTAGATAAAACATTAAAACGAAAGTTGATCTAGCTAGCTGACCCCATTTAGTGGGCCAAAGCTTGATGGTTGTTGTTGTTGTTGTAGTAATGTGTGCCTATGCCGAACTATTTGTAGATTTGCATCTGCCTCGTGCTGCTTCATCCTTTGCTGATATTTGCAATCCCAAAATCTTTTTGTTGAGTGTTCTTCAAACAAATTTATGTTTTCTTATTGTTGGTTTTAAACTGGTAAATTACAGGTTCAACCCTGTGTTGGTATTTGGAGTGATAAATGTACTTCAAAGTTTGGGAGAAGACGTCCATTCATTCTTGCAGGATCACTTATGATCTCCTTGGCTGTAAGCATTTGTGAAACTGCTTGTTTTCTGACATGCTTTTTTACATTGTATTGCATATGAGCTAAAGATAAGTTTTATAATTTAGGTGATACTGATCGGGTTTTCTGCAGACATTGGATATGTATTAGGGGATACACATGAGCATTGCAGGTTTCTGTTTCAATCATTTTGTACTTTTCTTGCTCATTTAATTTATTCTTCTTTTTTAATTTCACTTAAATGAACTAAGATATTGATGGAACTCATCCGTAAAAATTAAAATTGTAGTACATTTAAAGGGACTCGAACAAGGGCTGCTGTTGTATTTATTCTTGGGTTCTGGATGCTGGACCTTGCCAACAACACAGTGCAGGCAAGTTTTTTAAATGAATTAAAGTGTGCTTCCATTACATTAACTTTATACTGATGATGATGTAGTTGAACGATGGTAAACTAAACCCTGTATTTCTTGAAATTTAAATTATAGGGTCCAGCTAGAGCACTTTTGGCAGATCTATCAGGTACAGATTTTTTATTGTACAAATTTGTTATTCAATTTCTCAACAGCCACAATTGGAATCATTGTTTTTCATCTTGCATTAAAATATTTGCTTGGTAGTCAGGAGACATTATGAAATAACACTTTTGCTTATTTGTAGGTCCAGATCAACGCAATGTATCAAATGCTGTCTTTTGCTCATGGATGGCAGTGGGAAACATTCTAGGATATTCTTCTGGTGCTAGTGGAAAGTGGAACAAGTGAGACATTGCTAATATTTTGGTGTTATTCCATTTTTCTGCATACTGTTAACTATATAAAATCCAATGCACTGCCTAGTAATTGAATATTTTGTTGTTGTTGTTGTTGTTGTTGTTGTTGTTGTTGTTGTTGTTGTTGTTGTTGTTGTTGTTGTTGTTGTTGTTGTTGTTGTTGTTGTTGTTGTTAGAAAGGCATAGAATTCTTAAATGGTTGAGAGAATTTTAAACTGAATCTGTTTCTGTTTTCTATATTATGATAGTTAAAACCAAATTACAAGGAGTGAGATCTTTTATTGATCCGCATATCTAACTAACTTAAGTTAGTTAGTCTCTTAAATTCAAGGGATTAGTTACATCTAACGGGGATACTGTGCAGCTAGTGCACAATAGATAATATACAATGGTGTTGGTATCTAGACTATTCTAGAACTTTCTAAAGTTAGTTTCCTTAATACTTCCGTGCAAGCTTAATTGTGGGGGATGAGGAAGAATCCCACACAATTTTGTTCTAAACTCTTCAAATTGTTTGTAGATAGGGTTGTGGTCATGATATCAAAATAGGGACGATGACCAAGGATATACAGAACTCTGAGCTGCTTATTGAGAATCTTTTCCCTTACAAAGAAAAGGTCAAGCTCCGCATGCTTGGTACGACCGTGTAAGATGGAGTTGTGAACCAAAGCTATGGTACTCAAGTTGTCGCAATGGATGATATAGGGAGGAGTTACCGATTCCAATTCTTGAAGAGATTGAATCCCGAGAAAGCTTAGAGGTAACAAGGGCCATGCTTCTGTATTGGAACGAGATATAACTGGATGCTTCTTGGCCCACTAAGATATGAAATTTTTTCCAAGGAACAAACCAGCTCGTGGGAGGACCTCCTTTCATTAGGGTCATAAACCCCAATCGATATCACAGTAGGTTTAAAGAGAGATGGATGCAAGAGCCAATTGCAAGCCCCTAGAAATAGTGCCTTTGAGGTGGTACCTTATGATGCTTTTCACAATGGTAAGTGTGAATCAAGGGGTTTAACCATAATTGGCACTCATTGTTGACACCATAACAAATGTTAGGTTTGGTGAACACCCGTACAGACCTGTACATTGTGGAATTAGTCAAGGGATCAAAGCCATCTTTAGAGAGCTTGAGGCCAACAATCATGGGAGAAAGGAGAGGTTTGGAATCAAACATATTAGTCTTATCGAGAAGATCCCTGTCATACTATCCCCTAGGATTGATAAAGGGAGCCAACATGCTTATGTTTGACTTCAATACCAAGGAATAGTCAAGATGGCCTGGATCCTTGAGAGAAAATACTAAGTGTAACTTGGAGACAATGCGTTGAGTGAGAGTATGGTTGGTACTTATGATGATTATGACTTCGACATAAACCAACATGTAGACAAGATCATAGGCTTGATAATAGACCTAGAGAGAAGAATCACACTTGCTATGAACTAGGTGAAGCTGAAGCAAAGTACCCTTGAATCTATCAAACCAAGCCCTGTATACTTGTTTGAGGCCATATAAAGCCTTGTTGATTTTGCACACTAGAGTTTTGTTGGAGGACTCAAAGCCAGGGGGTTGAGTCATGTATATTTCTTCTTCTTCTTCTTCTTCTTCTTCTTCCAAGATGCCATTAAGGAAGACATTGTTAATATCAAGTTGATGAAGTTGCGAACTTTTAGAGAGGACCATGGTGAGAATAGTTTTGGCTGTGACTGACATCAATGCTGAAAATGTCTCAATGTAGTCATCACCACATCTTTGGTGGAACCCCTTGACAACAAGTCTAGCTTTGTACTTATTATACTCCTGAGTCATGGCAGGTAGTCAGGTAGGATAAGGCAGAGCTTGCATTATGATTCTTGGCTCAACATGAGCAATGAGGAGAGTAGGATGAATAGGTTGGTGTAGGGAACCTCAAACTTGAGAGAAGAGGTTGGAAGCCTATTGATGAGATAGACACTAGGGCCAAAGGTAGCATCTCTAAATTTAAAGGGCAAGGATGTCTGATACATGAATGCAAGCCCTATTTCCGTTATATGCCTGTGTTTTCTTACCATAACTCCACTTGTGATGAGTGCATGAACAAATAACACGATGATTAATGCTGAAGTTAGGAAGAAGTGGAGTGAAGAGACGAAACTCTCCACCCATATTAGTTTGAACGTCCTTAATTTTGAAGGATATGGAACATGACATTGAGATCCAAAGAAACTTCAAGCAAAGTAAAGCCATGGCATAAATCCTGAATATGCCTGTGGAATTGGAAATTTTGAATGAGAACCACTCTGAGATGACCAGGGAGGGGTAAAATTAGAGCAAACTTGTGAGTCATCTAGAGGAATTTATGGAACATAATCTCTCTGAAGTTGAACTTGTGATAACAGATTAACTTGTGATAACAGATTGAAGCTTCATGTCCATATTTCCGGCATACTTGATATTGAACATAGTTACTATGGTTACCACGTCCACTACCACCATGACCACCCTGAGAGTAGATGGAAGATGGATCGGTGTTATCTTTATCTAACATAGGAGGTAAATTCAGTCAGTTCATCTGAGGAGAAGTTAAGGAAAGTGCAGTAGTGGATGAAACAATGAGATTTGCAATAGCAGAGTAAATTTTGTTTGCGAATGATAGAAACCAATAACAGAAGCTTCATGTCCATATTTCCGGCATACTTGATATTGAACATAGTTACTATGGTTACCACGTCCACTACCACCATGACCACCCTGAGAGTAGATGGAAGATGGATTAGTGTTATCTTTATCTAACAGAGGAGGTAAATTCAGTCAGTTCATCTGAGAAGTTAAGGAAAGTGCAGTAGTGGATGTGGTGGATGAAACAATGACATTTGCAATAGCAGAGTAAATTTTGTTTGCGAATGATAGAAACCAATAACAGAACTTTCATTTTCAGTTGTAACTGAATTTTGATTTATAAAAAGTTATTTACAAATGAGATCACAATTTGCTTACATAGATGCAAACTGTGTGACCTGCAATAGCAGGTCTGCACTAGGTAAACTGCCAGCTGTCAGTACAAACAAAGACATAAAGAAGAGGTCAATTTCCATATGCTTAGTCCTGAAATGCATTATGGGATTGTGAGCTAGCAGAACAGCAGACTGATTGTCACAAAGAACAATAGGCTGCTGAGTAGGAACACACGGTTCATGTAGGAGAGTTTGAAGCCAGAGAAGATCTGCTGAGCCAGACTTCTGTACTCAGCTTCTGTGCTGGATCTAACAACAACTTGTTGTTTCATGGACCACCAAGATACCAAGTTTCCCCCAAAATAGATAGCAGCATCAGAAGTGCTTCTCCTGTCATCTGGGTCTGATGCCCAGTCAGCATCACAAAACACCCCGAGAGAAGGCAGTTGAGCAGGTGAATGAGGAGACAGATGCAGTCCATGCTGAATGGTGTCTTTAAGATACCTGAGGATCCTTTTTACTGGAACCCGATGAGTTTCCAGAGGGTGAGACATGAATTGACAGACCTTGTTGACAGCATAGGCTATGTCAGGTCTTGTAATGGTGGCATATTGAAGGGCCCCAACAATGGACCTGTACATGAAAGGGTCAGTTAAGGCAGGGGAACCAGTTTTGGTGAGTTTGCAAGTGGATTGCATGGGTGAATTGACTGGACTGGAGTCAGTCATATTGGTTTTGTGCTGCAGACCACAAATATACTTGGTCTGAGTTAACACCATGGAGCCTTGAGAAGTAGCCTTCACTTCAAGGCCAAGAAAATAATCCAAGTCACCAAGGTGTTTGAGTGAGAAGGCAGAGTTAAGTTTAGCAATGATGTCCATTAGAAGAGAGGAATCACTGCAAGTTATGATAATATCATCAACATAAACCAGGAGGTAGATAGTATGACCATTTGAAGCAAATATAAAGAGGGAATGATCACACTTCCTGGGTTTTAATTGGAGCTTGAGGAGAGTAGACTGCAGCCTTTCAAACCACTGCCTGGGAGCCTGTTTTAGGCCATAGAGAGCTTTGTGCAGTTTGCAAACAAGTGAGGGATTAGAGGCAACAAAGCCAGGTGGCTGTTCCATATATACTTCTTCAGTTAACAAGCCATTTAGAAAGGCATTGTTAACATCAAGCTGCTGAATGGACCATTTTTGAGTGAGAGCAATGGTTAAAATAAGTCTGATGGTAATTGGCTTTACAACTGGAGATTATGTCTCATTAAAGTCAAAACCATGCTTCTGGTGAAAACCCTTAGCTACAAGGCGTGCTTTATACCTGGTAACAGTGCAATCTGGATTCTCTTTGATGCGAAAAACCCACTTGCACCCAATGGGTTGTCTATTGGGGGGAAGAGGAACAAGTGTCCAAGTCTTGTTTGTGCATAGAGCATCAAATTCAGTCTGCATAGCTCCTTTCCACTTGGCATCTGCAAGAGCTTGTTTGACAGTTTTGGGCTCAGTATGTGTAAGCAACAACTTAGGCTGCAGTCTTGGCTGAGCAAATCCAGACTTAGCTCTAGTTTTCATAGCATGGTGATTAACAGGCTTGAAGGGAACAGGCACAACATTGGAAGGAATAGGCTCAGAGAAATCAGAAGCTGCATCAGATGCAAAAGTGGATGCATGAGAGTGAGGCTGTGGATAAGCAATCCTGGAAGTATGCTCAGTGCCTGAAGATGATGAAATAGACACAGATTCTGTAGCAGTATCAGCAGAAGGAACTGGCTAATTTGACAAAGCAGGGGAATCAGATGGTGTGGAGGAGCCAGGGAACACACCATTAGGTGTGGATGCAAAGGGAACAGCTGAAATAGGCACAGGTTTTGGCAAGCCAGAGTTGGGCAACAGGGACTGCAGATCAGATGAAGAATGTGGCTTTGCAGAAGTTGTGACAGTAGGACTAGCAGGCTTGGAAAACAATTCCAAGTATGGAAACCTGGACTCATTGAAGAGTACATCTTTGGAGATGTACGGCCACAAGGAGAAAGGCACCTGTATCCCTTGTGAGATGTAGAATAGCCCAAGAACAAGCTTCCTGAGACCTGAACTCTAATTTGTGGGCATGATAGGGTCTTAACAGAGGAAAACATGCACAGCCAAAAACATTCAGGAACTTGTAATCAGGCATTGAGTGAAATAGCAGAAAATAGGGAACCTGAGATTTAATTGAAGTGGAGGGAAGTCTATTTATAAGGTAGACAGCTGTGGAAAAGGCATAGCCCCAGTAGGATAGTGGTAAGGAGGCCTGGCTTAAGAGAGTAAGTCCCAGGTCCACAATGTGCCTATGTTTTCGTTCCACAACACCATTTTGGTGATGTGTATGAGGGCATATGACTCTGTGCAGTATTCCCAGGTCAGTGAGGAACTTGCTGAAGGGTCTAAACTCCCCACCCCAATCTGATTGCACAGCCTTAATAGGATGCCCAAGTTGCAGTTCAACTAAAGCTTTGAACTGTTTGAATGTGTTAAGAGCTTCAGCTTTGGACTTAAGTAAATAAATCCAAGTAAATTTGGAGAAGGCATCAACAAAAGACATGTAATAAGTGAACCCTTGAGTAGAGGGTTGGGGGGAAGGGCCCCAAAGATCACAATAGACAAGTTCAAGAGGATAATTATAAGTGGTGTGTGAAGGTGGTGAATGCGGTCTATGAGCTTTACCAACACAACAGGCTGAACAGAAATATTCATGAACTTTATTATTGAATGGAATATTATAGCTTTGTAACACTAGTTTTAAAGTGTTAGTATTGGGGTGGCCTAGTCTTAAATGCCATACATTGGACAAAGCAGGGGAAATACTAGTTGTATTTATACTAGGTACAAGATTATTTGTGGAAACTGCAGACTTCGCAGACTTGGAAACATATGCAGAGGGAACTCATAGAGGCCATCAGAGCCAACTTTACCAGCCAGAAGGACAGCATCAGAGCCAACTTTACCAGCCAGAAGGACAGCATTAGACACCTGAGATTTCACAAGGCAAGTGTCAGTTGTGAAAAGAAAATAAACTTGATTGTCACGACAAAATTGACGGACACGGATTAGATTCTTAGTGATGAATGGAACATGTAAGAGATTTTTAAGTGTGAGAGGTGTGTGAGGGTGATAAGATGAGAAAAACTGACTGGAATCAGCAGAATTGATGACTAGACCTTGCCCATTGCCTATATAGATTTGTTCATGCCCCTCAAAAGGTGTGATTTGCTGAAGATTGCTGGCATCATTTGTAACATGAAAAGAAGCACCTGAGTCTTGATACCACGAAGCAGCAGAGGTTGAAGGTGCAGTGTTGGCAATGAAGGTGCTGGGAGGAGCAAAAGTAACTGCAGTCCTGACTTGAGGAGCTGCAGGTCTTGTCCTCACATTGACTGGAAATTGACCACAAGGTACTTGAGAACCAGACCAAGGAGCTGCAGAATAAGGACTTCCATTGTAAGATTGAGGCTGAAATTGCTGATTAAACCTATGCCAGCAGTTGAGAGCTGAGTGACCAACTTTAGAGCACACTTGGCATTGGACATTGGAGTTCCTGCCACCTCTTCCCTTACCACCACAATCTCCTCTATTGGACCTTCCACCTCTGAAGCTAGAGTAATAAGGTTCATTGGGATTTGTGTGAGTGGAATCATTACTGCCAGATTGAGCAGTATCAGGTGCAGGGGATTGAGGGGAAACATGTGTTAGGTTGAGAGAAACAAGATCTGGTACAGGCGGCTTCTTGAACTTGTTTAAACGCAAATGTGCAATTAGAAGAATCTCAACCTCATGTAGCTCCATTTCTCCAAACTTACTTTCAACTATTGAGACCACAGGAGCATAATCAGCAGGGAGACCTTCAAGAATCACATCAATGTGATGCGTATTGGGCACAGGGTCTCCAATAGAAGCTAATGAGTCCACAATCGTACGAATTTTCAGCAAATAATCAGAAACAGAGTTTGTATCAAGAGTTAGGGCACGTAATTCAGCACGAAGTTGACGAGCACGAGCACGCGTTTGCTTCTGAAAATAGTTGAACAAACGATCCCATAGTTGATGCGAGTGAGAACAACCAAGAACTCGCGACAGAATTCCGCTTGAGCTTGGATTGAGGCCACGATAGCAGAAGCTGATCTTTCTGAAGCCAAACAGAGTAAGCAGGATTAATCGTGCCTTTGCGACGATCTTCATCGCTCAGAAATTGCGAAGGGATTCGAGTGCAGACAACGAGACCTGTGAGATTGTGCGCGTTGATGTAGGGTTCCACTTGCTGACGCCAGAGGTGAAAATTCTTCTTGTCAAGCTTATGCGCGATCTTGAGTGAGAAGTGAAGACGGCACGATTCATCATTCGCAACTGTGACCGGCGTTGCCGGAGAAGAGATATTAGCGGAAGGCGAATTAGGTGGAGAAGCCATGGATCAATCTTAACAAACTGATACCATGGTAGAAACCAATAACAGAACTTTCATTTTCAGTTGTAACTGAATTTTGATTTATGAAAAGTTATTTACAAATGAGATCACGGTTTGCTTATATAGATGCAAACTGTGTGACCTGCAATAGCAGGTCTGCACTAGGTAAACTGACAGCTGTCAGTACAAACAAAGACTTAAAGAGTAAACTATTCTACACTATGTGTGTTGCTCTATTAGCGAAATCTATCAAGGAGTAATTCATGACAGCGAAGGAGCGTCTCAATTTCCTCAATGGAGATAGATCCAAATTTGACAGTGATAATGCTAATCGTGGATTCAAAATTCTGAGGAAAACTTTTGAGGATTACATCCAGGTGTTTGCATGCAGAAATTGGTTGCCAATGGCGTTGATTGATCCAATTAGGGTTTGATTGTGAAGCACTATTCTTACAGTTTTCAAGGCGCGTGTACCACAGTTCAGATTGAAGTTGACACAACTTCACTTTTATGTTAGAAATGCACAGCGTTCATATATGGTTCAGAGAATCTCAACTAAATATTAAGATAGTTGAAACTGAATTACATGGAGTGAGATCTATTTATAGATCCACAAATCTAGCTAACTTCAGTTAATTAGTTTCCTGGATTCAAGGAATTAATTACACCTAGTAGGGATACTGTGCAGCTAGTGCAGAGTAGATATAGTGGTGTGGGTATATATAGTATTCTAGAACTTCCTTAAGTTAGTTCCCTTATTAATAATAATAATAATAATAATAATAATAATAATAATAATAGTAATTATTATTATTATCATTTTATTTTTTGTCGGGATAATAATAATAATAATAATAGTTATTATATTATACTATATAACTAGATAAAATCAAACGGCATTGAGCATCGTTTTGAAAACCTATACTGAGAGTTAAGCTGTATATATTCATCATTATCTCAAAAGATCTTGTTTAAATATTAAATTTACCTTTATGAGTCTCAAAATTACTAGAGACATCATTATGTAATTTGAACATTTTGTGTAGTTACAAAAAGAAAGGTCTAAAACGATATGATGAACTATTGAACTGTCTTTCACCTTCAATCAGTCAGGCTACTATTGAAAAAGCTAAAAAGGATCTAATGAAAGTGTTGGCTAAGTGTCAAAGCTGTGTCCAAGTCATGGTCTCCATTTGTAAAACCTAAAATAATATTTTTTATATTCCATCACTAGAATGAAGTGTTTGACACATGTCGTCTAGTATGTGTCAAAACAGTTGGACGCACCTTCAACTTGGAGTGGGTGTACATTTGAGCTAGTCATGTAAAAGATCTCATGAGTGGTTTTAATATTTGGATTTATGTAAATCCAAAGATTTTGCATTTGGGCTTCTTTTTGTTATTGTTGCTATCAATGTTGTTAAGATTGAGATTTTGACTAAGTTCACGAGGGGGTAGCAATATTGCAACTAGGAAGGTGGCCCAAAGAATAGGAAACAGAGCATCCCTGTGCGATTGAGGGAGAGTGAGACTGTGAGATCCCACACTGTTTTGCTTTGCGCGTGATAGAGTGTGTTAGGCAGCGATGAAAGAGGGTGAAGGTTGCATGCAAAAATAAAATAAAATAATATTAGGGTTGTCCCAACTTGGTTGTCCATGGCCTGAATTGGTTCTGCCCAGAAGCAAACACGAATATACCAAATTGTGCGACTTCACAAGCCAGAAACGATTTTGTTCTGATCTTTCTTCTATCTTACACAACTTGATCTTGCTAACGATTCAGATCGTAGGGGGTGACTGAGATGTCAAACTCGTGCGTTCTTGCGAGTTAACTTGTGATATTTATAACATTGGTTGCAATGCCATGAAATCTGTTAAGTGAGTATTGCTTGATCTGCGGAAATACACCATTATGAGTTTTATATATGTAACTTTATTTTTATATTTACTATTTAAGTTCTTTGTATATTTAGTATTTACTACCGATTAATATTTTGTTGTTTCGTACCTTATCAGATGGTTCCCTTTCTTAACAACTAATGCTTGCTGTGAGGCCTGTGGCAATCTTAAGGCAGCATTTCTTGTTGCTGTGGTAGGTCACTACTGAAAATCCTTTTAATTAAACCTTCATATTTGACTTTCTATTATTATAAGTTCAGAGATCATAAGCATACCTGATATAAGAATGCACGGCTTTTTTTTCCTTCTGATTATTGAAACCACATTCTCCTTCAGTTTGTTTAGTTGTTTCTGTTCATTTACATTTATTTATTAACTCTCTTGCGGGGAAACATCATCATCTTTACCTACTTATCTGGATTTTTCTTAGTTCCAGTTCTCAGAGTGCATAAGTTTGTCTTATCTAAGAATGACCCTTTTTACCTCATAAATGACTTATTCACAGTACAAGTTCTTGCTTAAACAGATGCCGGTTCCCTTTCTTTATAATCATTTGTTTCTGTGATATAGTTTTAATTGGGGAGCCGAAAGAAGAAATAAATGAATATCTAGAGATATAGATACAAGCTTTTGAAACACATGCTTTTTCTTTGTTGAAGTAAAGTAAACTAAATGAAATGGGAGTTTAGCAGGAGAAACACAAATCCTTTAATGTAAAGGTGAAAATTGGAGAGAACATATAATACCCCAACTCCTGTGATTTTTCATATCTTAGTAGGTATGTGATACAAAGTGAAAAACACTACTGAAGTAAGGCAGTCATTGTTTCCCGGGGTTATTAGCTAGCATATCTGTCAAGATTTTCTCTCATATACTGCTAAACATACTGCATTAAATGTGTATATAATTTTTTTTGATAGCTATAATCTCATGGTAGAATATTGACAGGTGTTTTTGACATTATGCACACTTGTAACCCTATATTTTGCTGATGAAGTTCCCCTTACTACTGCAAGTCAACATCACCGGTTATCAGATTCTGCTCCTTTATTGGATGAACAACAAAATGGCATTGAATTTTCTAAATCAAAGCCTTTATCTATTATAAATGAGTCCAATGGCGAGACAAGAGAAGATCATTCTGAGGAAGTTGTAAACCTGAAGCATGAGAGTTTCAATGCCGGGGAAGATGATAAAGAAATTTTAATGGATGGGCCTGGAGCAGTATTGGTTAACTTGTTAACAAGTTTAAGGCATTTGCCACCTGCTATGCATTCAGTGCTAGTTGTAATGGCTCTCACTTGGGTAGGTACTTCAGTGCTTATGTTCAAAAGATTATTCTGACATCACATTTATGTTTGTTTTCACATTGGTAGTAAATGTATTTTTATTGCATTTGTGCTGGTGCTTTAATTTGAGATCCTTCTTATACTTCCTCCAAACCTGTTTGTCTGCAGTTGTCATGGTTTCCCTTCTTTCTGTTTGATACGGATTGGATGGGGAGAGAGGTTTATCACGGGGATCCAAAAGGAACCACTTCTGAAATAAATCTTTATGATCAAGGTGTTAGAGAAGGTGCATTTGGTTTGCTATTGAATTCTGTAAGAACTCAATATTGAATATTATACTTTTTAAAGAGATTTATCACAAGTTTTCATCTATGATGATCAGAGACTTTGTATTTATCTTTTAGTAAATTAGATTTTTTGGACATTATTTCCAGAACAATCACGAATCTCACATTTCTCACTTATGGATTTAAAGGTTGTGCTTGGAATTAGCTCTTTTTTAATTGAACCAATGTGTAAGTGGATGGGGGCAAGATCAGTATGGGCAGTGAGCAATTTTGTTGTCTTTGTTTGCATGGCTGGCACTGCTATCATTAGTCTAATTTCTGTCCACGATTATACTGGGGGAATAGAACATGCAATTGGAGCAAGTGAAGGAATCAAGGTTGCTTCCTTGGTTGTGTTTATTCTGCTTGGATTTCCACTTGCGGTAAGTAAAGTTGGCACATTCTAACTATATTGATGCATTGTCAGTTTCCTTATTTTCCTTACCAATCCTCTTTCCCATTCATGATATTAATTTATATAAGATTATAAGGAAGTTCATGGCAGGATAAATTTCCATATTTATATTACAGATTACCTACAGTGTTCCATTTGCTGTTACAGCAGAATTGACTGCTGATTCAGGTGGTGGCCAAGGTTAGTATTAAATGGATATGTTCTTAATTCTTGGGCTGTTGAAAGTTTCAGATTTGAAAATGTTTGATTTCTCTACAGGATTGGCTATAGGAGTTCTAAATCTTGCAATTGTTGCTCCTCAGGTACCAACCTTATTCTTCTCAAATATTGCTGTATGTTAGGCCTTGTTAGTTAATAGCTGTTCTTATAATCTGCTAGAGTAGTTGATTATTTAGATTGTACGAATAGAGGGGACAGTTTGTTGGTTGATGGGCTATTAAAATTGGGAGTGGCCAATCTTGACTTCTGTAGTAGATTTATGTTTTCCCTGCGCATTAGATTATCTTCTGTAATTGCTACTTTCTGAATCAGAACCTCCCTGTTTCTCTTGTGAAATTTGAATGTCTTGTAAATGTTGTTAGTGCTATTTTGACGTATTATTGGTTTGTTTAGATGATTATATCCCTTGGTTCTGGTCCATGGGATGCTCTCTTTGGCGGTGGCAATATTCCTGCCTTTGTTTTGGCCTCCGTCTGTGCTCTCGTCGGTGGCATTTATGCATTTCTAAAACTGCCAAATCTTTCTAGCAATTCCTTCAAGTCATCCGGATTTCATTTTGGCTAGCTGTTGGAAGATCTAATCTGGTAATGTTTTTAAACGTGTACATGGTCCTCAGAAATTGGAATAACATGAATAGTTTGGAGAGCTGTCAAGATGATTGTGTTATGTTGCTTTCCAATACATACACAGAAAGGCGCATTCCATATTCAAATTCATTCATTCTTCCCCCCACATTGTGGGTGTTGTATTGTATGTAATATATTATAAAGGCTGCACAATAGAAAAAGCTTAGGTGCATATAGCAACACACATTTGTAATCACCAGTATTTAACCAATTAGTGATTACAAAATGATGAGATCAATTTTGAGAGTTAATCTTGTGACTTGAGTTCACACTTGCCTAAAAGATTTGTTCAAGCACAGTTTCCCCCATTAAAGGTAGAAATCTCCAGATTGGGTTTTATGTGAATGGAGCACCTGTTAAGGTAATTTTGTTACAATGGCGTACTGAAAGCCGTAAGTTGTCTGAAAGCAAATCTTAAAGGGATGCATAATGTAAGTATATGTATTGGGTATGTATATGATGCATGTATTCTTGTAAGTAAGACTTAGAAATGCAAAAGTATGCTGCTGGTAATGGTTTTATTGCTGCTGAGAAAAATACATTTATTAACAAGACCCAGAATCAAAATGGGTAGAGGGCTACAATTATAAGAAGTTTCTTTAGGAGGAACTTTTCTTTTTCTGGAGGTCTATTGACAAAAACATGTTTTTTTATTTTTAAATTTATTTTCCATATAGAAATGTTATTTTTTTTTTGTTGATTTTCGCCACCGTATAATTCGGTTCAAAAATCAGTTCTGACATCAAGTGGTTTCAGCCCCGTTTTGATATATATTGAATTAGGAAAGATTAAGAGGCATTTAGGTTAAACCGTGTGTTTTGAAAGCACTACAGAGATTTTATTATATAGAGATATTATAACTAATTACACGATATAATCGATGTAGGACTATTCTACCTACAAAAATTCTTAACATTATATATTCACAAATATCAACACTCTTCCTCAAACTGGAGCATATAAATTAAATGCACCAAATTTGTCAGATATAATTAGTTCTGGGGTTTCACAGAGATTTTGTAAACACATCTACCAATTGACCATTAGAGTTGACAAAACTTGTGACGATGTCGTCAGATTCAATCTTCTCTCTGGCGAAGTGATAGTCTATATCAATATGTTTGGTCCTCTCATGGAAGACTGGATTTGAAGAAATGTGTAATGCAGCTTAATTTTCACATATGAGTGTTATTGATCTTGCTTCTTCAATTTTAAGTTCTTTGAGCAACTGTTTAAACCAATTGAATTCACATGTTGCCATTGCCATGGCCCTATACTCTGCTTCGGCGCTTGATCTTGCAACTATATTTCGTTTCTTACTTTTTCAGGATATAAGATTTTCTCCAACAAGTACACAATATCCAGAGGTGGATCTATCAATTGGTGACCCTGTCCAATCAGCATCAGAGTATCTAACTATCTGAGTATGTCCTTTATCTTCATACACAAAACTTTTTCTTGGAGCACATTTGATGTATCTTAGAATCTGGATAACAACATCCATGTGTTTCTGACAAGGAGAATTTAAGAACTGATTTATCACATTGACTGGAAAAAAAAAAAGTCTGGACGGGTGACTGTGAGACAATCTGACAGAGGCTCCCCCAGATTGGATAGTAGTTTGACACTTGGATCCATAGGAGTATCAACTCGTTTAGCGTTCAACAAACCTTTTTCTTTCAAAATATCCATAGCATATTTCTGCTGAGAAATCACCAAATCATCTTTAGATTGGGCTACCTCAATACCCAAGAAATACCAGAATTTACCAAGATCCTTTATCTGAAATTGATTTGAAAGATGTTGCTTTAATTGGAGTATTCTCGACACATCACTATCAGTTATGACAATATCATCTACATACACAATAAGATAAATACATCTTTGGACTGAGTGACGATAAAAGACAGAATGATCAGCTTCACTACAGGCCATACCAAATTGTTGTACTACAATGTTAAATCTGCCAAACCAAACTCTCAGAGATTGCTTAAGACCATAAAGAGACCTGTGTAGCCTACAAACCATATTCGATGACTCCCCTGAGCAACAAACCCAGGTGGTTGCTCCATATATACTTCCTGTTTAAGATCACCATGTAAAAATGCATTTTTGATGTCAAGTTGATGAAGAGGTCAATGTTGAATGGCTGCAATGGCTAGAAGAAGTCTAACAGATGCCATCTTAGCTACAAGTGAGAAGGTATCACTATAGTCCAACCCAAAAATATGAATGTATCTCTTGACTACCAAGCGAGTTTTAAAACGATCAATTTTACCATATAGACCAATCTTCACTGTATAAAGCCAACGACAACCTACTAAAGATTTTCCAATGGGTAGAAAAATCAGTTCTCAGGTATCACTGCTTTGAAGAGTACACATTTCATCAATAATTGCTTGCCTCCACTCAAGGTGAGATAATGCTTCACTTGGAGATTTAGGAATAGAAGCAGAAGACAAAGAGGACAAACAAGTATACTGCAAATGAGAAAGACGATGATAACATAAATTAATATAATGTGGAGAAGGATTTCATGTTTGACGTATACCTTCGCGAAGGGCAATCGGAAGATCAGACTCAGGTTGCAAGATCGAATCCGGTGATGGCGATAACATTGGAGGAGAGTCTGTAATAATCTCAGGGACATGTACGATCTCAGGGACAAGTACGACCTCGGGGATATGTATGACATACGTTGGTTTACGACGCTAATATGTTTGAAGTGGGCGAGAAGTGTGTGTGTGTGTGTGTGGGGGGGGGGGGGGGGGGGGTCAACCGTAGGGGTTTCTCGTGGGACAAGTTCCCTAGAATGATGAGGAATAATGGGAAATGAGACTTCCGGAAGAGGTGTATGAGTACTTTCCTGAAGGGATTCCGGAGTGATTTGGGTGGACGCAAAATATGACACAGACTCAAAGAAGGTAACATCGACCGATATTAGGTATCATTGCAGAGTGTGTGAGTAGCAACGATAACCCTTTTGAGATCAATGATAACCAAGAAAGACACACTTTAGTGATCAAGCTGATAGTTTATCAAGACCAGGAGAGAGATTATGCACAAAACATATAGACCCGAAGACTCAAGGAGGAATTGGGTGAAGAGGAGAGTTTGGAAACAAGATTGAATGATGATTTTATTATTAAGGACATATGAGAGCATGCGATTTATGAGATAACACGCTGCGATCACAACATCTCCCCAAGATCTGAGAGGGATATTGCCATGGAGAAGTAGAGTCTGAGTGATTTCTACGAGATGTCGGTTTTTGCGTTCGGCTACCCCGTTTTTGTTGAGGTGTATGAGGGCAAGATGTTTGGTGTAGAATACCATTAGATGACATAAAGTTTGAAATTTTTGGGATAAATATTCACGTGCATTGTCACTTCTTAAGGTACAAATGGACAAACCAAATTGGGTTCTTATTTCTTGATAAAATTGTTCAAAAATAAAAAACAATTCAGATCTGTTTTTCATTAAAAATAGCCACGTGCAACGTGAAAAATCATCAATAAATGTTACAAAATATCTAGACTCAAAAGTAGACACGGTACGCGATGGACCCCAAATATCAGAGTGAACTAAAGCAAAAAGGGGACGCAGTCCGTTTATTGACTCGATCGGGAAAGTAACTACGAGTATGTTTCCTTAATTGACAAGACTCACACTATAAAGTAGATAATTTAGATAAACTGGGCACCAACTTTTGTAGTTTGAAAAGACTTGGGTGACATAACTGCGCATGTATAATGAGTGGAGAATCTGTGGTGGAGCATGTGGTAGATGACGTAGAGAAGTAATAGAGGCCTTGAGACTCACATCCGACGCCAATTATCTGTCCCGAACTTCGATCCTGCAGAATAACATCATTGTTAGTAAAAGTGATAAAATAATTAAGGGAACGAGTTAAACGACTGACTGACAGTAGATTAAACGGGAAATTAGGTACATATAGGACATAAGTAACAAAGAGAGATGATAGAATTTGAACAGTACCGATCCTTTGGGATCGGGTTTGAGAACCATTTGCGGCAGTTATACTCAATAAGAAATCAGAGGTAGAAAGGGACGAGAAAAGATTTTTATTACCGGTAACATAATCAGACGCACTAGAGTCGAGGATCCAAGGACCAATAGGAGATGATTGAGAGACGCAAATAGATGAATTACCAATGTGTGCACTCGAAGTCGTGGAACCAGAGGTCTGGTTAGTCTGACACCACCTGAGAAAATGTTTGTAGCTTGGCGTAGGGTTTTGAAGAGAAGGTGAAGTCTGTATTGTGTCTGGGTTATCAATTTGAGTTGCATTTACCTGCCGTGGAGGTTTGCCATGCAACTTCCAGCAACGATCGATAATATGTCCAATCCGGTTACAATGGTCACACTTAGGACGGGGTTTGGAGTTGGATGACCCTCCTCGAAGGCGATTCTGATTGTTGCCAAGAGATGCAAGAGCAGCAGTGTCACCTGGTGTTGGAATAGAAATAGATGGAGGAGAAACTGGGCCAAACGCATGAGGTGTAGTCAAGCGCAACAATTGTTCATTAATTGTATCATAGTTAGGAACATTAGTACCTGATAAAATCTGGTTACGAACAAATTCGAGTTTTAATGGTACTCCTTTAAGTGCCATGACCATAAAATATTTATTCTATTGTTTGGTATGAGCTATTGCATCTTTTGCGTAAGGCATGTGGGTTGCGTAACTTGCTTTCAAGGCATCAAGCTTACTCAGATAAGTTTGCACATCCATATTTTCCAACTTCAGTGTGTTGAGTCTGTGGATGACACTGTATAGAGAATGAACGTCGTTGGAAAAGACTTTCTTGGCCTTTTGCCACACCTCATAACAAGTGGAGAATGCTTGGTACTACGCTTGGAGGTTAGGTGCTATGGAAAACCACAACACATTACACAAAGAGGCATTTGTTTTTT